TCAAGCCATTGTTATTCCTAACATAAGAACTGTGGCAGGCACATAATAAGAACTGAAATGTTTCTTGAATTAATGAATCAGACCATCATTTTGGTCCAAAGAAAAAAAGTTACCATGAAGAGAGTGATACTAATTTAAACTCTTTTCTTTCTCTCTAGCTGTTGTAATTCTGTTTATGAAATTCTGTCCAATTATCAGACTGCTAAATTAAAGTGGAAACACTTTGAGAAAAGGACATTGCCTTCTTATTTCACATGCGCGGGACTTACCTTGGTGTTCAATATACAATAGATGCTCATTAAGCGTTTATAAAGGATGACTGGGAAGAATATGTCATTTACAACCTGTTATACTTTAAGAGACATGAAAAAAATTAGAAAAGGCTAAATTTTAATATTATTTCCAAGTAATAAAAATACCTAAAGCTCTGTTTTATATACATCTACTTTTTTCCTCTAAATTTCTGACATGGTCTCAGTATCTTAATTTTGTTAGATTAGCATCCCAGTACACTGTCCACTGACTTCTGGAGGGTTTTCACCTCAGGAAACTAAAAGACTGAGTTTTAATTGTTTAATGAAAGACACAGGGAAATAGGATTTAGCAGTTTTATGTCCAGCCACAGGATTTGAATATGACCAAGAAAAACAAGAGAAGATCTTTCACTTAGAAAATAGTTGATCTTTTTTACAGCCATTAAGCCACCCCCCAAACTAAATTTATCATCTCAGGAACATCATAGCATTAAAGTCATATATAAACAACCTTAAAACCATATGCAAGTTTAAGTAGCTTGAGGGAATCTTTCTGCCTCTACAGGAGCTATTGATTTTTTGGTTTTGTTTTCCAATTTTAAAACTGGCAAACGGCTTTATCTTTTTTGTGTTTATATGCAAGAACATGTACAAATATCTGTAAGAGTGCATGTATGTAAGGTGTGTGTGTGTCTTTAACCTCTGAGTGTACACGTGGAATTAATTGAAATAGAAAAGCGAAGCTCTGAAATTTTCTAAAAATTTAATTAAATTCATGAACCTGTAATAAATGAGGATCAGAAACAAAGTATTAAAAATATATTCTTTAATCCCAGGATGTCTATATTGTGTAAAGTTCAAAGAAGAAATAGTTTCTGCACACTGAAAGATGTTTTCCTTTCTATTTCCTATAGCACAAAATATTAATTTAAGCTTCATATCATACTAGGAAGTGTCCAGTAATCAATTTTCAGAATTAGGCCCCAAATGTGAAATGGGACACAGAGAAAAAAGTCAACTTAATAATATCAATGATCATTTTCAAAGAAAAGAAAAAGAGGAGAGAATAAAGTAAAGGATTTTCTCAAATATATAACTGAAAGAGTGTGGAGATAATCATTGGCAAAAGACTGGTTGATTAATTTATATCTATAAAATAGTATATATAAGAGAAAAACTCACAAAATTAGGATATAATAAGGAAGTTATCAATGTGCAATGTCATTACTGATAAAAGAGAAAGATTAAAAAACAATTACAACATGCTGTGCATATCAGGAGGTTTAATTTATATCCAACCCAGGATAATTAGCTTATAGTTTGCTGAGGATGTGTCAACTGTTTTGTAGTCCCACGAAAACACCATTTAAAATAAGACAGAAAGTAACAAGAAAAGTCTGAACCCTGCAGAAAATGCTCTGTGGAATATTTGGCACCCTTAAACAGGAAGATCACACAAGTTCTAAAATTGATAGAATCTTAAGATGAAATAATTCTTTCTTTACCATTTTTTAAATAGGACTTTTTCCTTCAAGATCAATACTTGTGTATGTTATTTTAAACTGTATCTAAGTAGGAAGACTCCAAAAGGTTTCTGCATAATCAATTTTAGCCTAAAAAGATAGAAGGTCTCTATGTTTGATTTATTTTTCTTCTTTCAATGTATTTTAGAATAGAAAAGTTTGTTTTCTTTTGAAATATCAGTCCCATAGTATTCAGTGTGTTATAATCCTCAGTTTTTTTTTAAATAAAAATACAAATCATCAGTGAATATGCATTTTCAAGGTATCTTTTCTCCTGGGCCCAAATGATGATATAAATTGTCAATGGATATTACATACTTGTGATACCAATATTTTGCAATATATCAAAATTAATTTATCACCACTGAGGAGTCAAATTATTTGCAATTAAAGGACATTTTACTCTGGAGCAAATATCTGGTTTATAACATATTCAAGATATTAAAAAGTGATAAAAGAAAGTAAGTGCAAATTGAGAGGAATGTCTAACTGTTGTCATATTTTTGTGAGTGTTTATCTATTGTGTTTGGCACAGGGATGAAGGAGAAACATATATAATTCAATGTCCTGAGACCATTATAGAACAGGCTTTTTTCAATAATTTGCTAGTACTCAAAGATACTTTCCCAAATTTGTGTTAGGTTTTGTATACATTTCTTCATTTAGTTTTTCTTTTATTTGACAAATCTTTAATGAGTTAATTCACGATACTCTAGGTACTACAAAGTAGATAAGATTTTCTTAGTCCAGACAAAAATTGCAAAGTTCGTTGCCTCAAATGAGATAGGAAAAGTCCTGCAAGGGTCTTATCATTTAGCTTTTGAATAAATATATTTACATAATACAAACATAAAATAACTTGTCTATGAAAAGTAAAATACAATGGCCAAAGATGTTTCTATCATATGACAAATGCCCTCTGAAATTCAAGAATGTGCATACGACAAAATGAAGTAATAAAAATTTCATGCATAAAATTTGCTGGAAAAAAAATATAAATCTCAGATTGTTTTTTGATAAAATTTGTTTTCCTTTAAACTGCAAATTTCTGGTCTCAGCATCATAGGCTGTGTATCATGAAACTAAATTAAAAAAATTTAATATGAATGAACAATGCATAAATTCATAAGATGTTGCTATTTTTAAAAAATAATATACTTCTATAAGACAATACATCCAAATATTTATCTTACTAAGTCTTAGATTTAGTTACACTGACAATTAAGCTTTGTCTCTTGTGTGTAGATGTGATTTCAGTATAATTGAGAAATTATACTGAAATTTAGTTATTCTTGTACAGCAAATTCAGGTACATAGGGAATTCACGTGTGTGTGTGTGTGTGTGTGCGTGTGTGTGAGCGCGCGCGCGCGCGCTAAAGCTATACTATCCTTCAATTACCAAATAATAGGTAAATTGAACCTTCTCTCAAACATTTTGCCTAATGCTACAGAAGTAACAATGTGAGTTGTTTTTAAGTCAATTTTATGTATGTATTCAGGAAGAAAATGTTTTGGCAACAGGGGCTGATTCACATACAGGTAAGCAAGAATCCATAACTGAACATCATCAGTAAATTCACATTAACAATACTTAGGTTAAATAAAAATAATGTGCTACGTCTACAATAAAATACTTTCTATATTTGATTTGTCTTTTAATAAACCCTCAAACACACAAATTTATTGGATTCTAGACCTTAGCTATTATTTCCACCAATTTTATTCATTTCTCCTAAGTGTGGACCCAACAAATAAAATATCTTCTTATGGTCACCATATCTCTAAATATAACTAATGCTTCTGGATTTATTGGAAAGGAAGAAACCAACTCAGATAGAGCATTCTCATCAGATGACTTCAGAGAAAGAGATCAGTGGGGCACTAGACAGCCAGCCGCCGGGTAGGGCTAGTTGTCCTCAACAGAACACAAGCTACTTCTTAGCCCAAAATACTAAAAATGTATCATTGCAATTCTAACATTAAAAGTAAGCAATGGATTTCTACATAGATTATTAAGAAAACTTTGAACACTCTTAAATAACAAGAACCAGAAGAGAGGGAATTTTCAGATACAAACAGAAAGGATGTTCAAAAGAAGTAATAATGTTTTGTGAAAATAAATTGATACTACTGTAATTTAAGGATACAGTCATAAATCTTTTCAGAATACAATATGCAGTATATTGAAAACTGCCTAACTCTGTATATTTACGAGTTGAATAGATGGTGAAGAGTCAAAAGTAAATGAATAGAACAGTAACAGAATCAATATGAATATTGATTTCCTGACTTTTTTTGGACCTTACAGTACATTTTCACATTTGTGCAGCTTTAATATTTCCATGAAGACTTTCATCAAGTTTTCTATAATAGTCTAACACCAAAACATTTTCAAATGGACAGTTCTCATTACTGAATATTCCTTCTCACAATGGCCTGAACAAAAAAGGAAAATATGTTTGCTGTAGGAATAGAGAACACTCATGCTTTTGTTTCTTTATCTTATTTAGGAAGGTTGATTATGCTCAGCTTAATGTCAATACATACCTTCCACAAAAGCTCTTTTTGGGACTCTACCTCTTTTCTTTTTGCTCACAATGAAAAATGTAGATATGTAGTACACATATTAATGTATCTATTCATATAACATTCAATAAAATTCATTTGAAATCAGCATACACTACAGTTGATGTATTCAGATTGAAATTATTCAGAGGCTGAAAATAAAAGCAGTCATAAAAAAGGGTTGGTTACTTCTCAGAATCCTTGTTTCCCAGAGTGTCTGCTTTGTATTCATCACCCTGTTAGGATAGAATGCCGGCTAACTAGAATTATTAGTCCTATTCCTCTAAATCTACCAGACACAGACACAGGCCTTCCTAAACACGAAAATTGAAGCAGGTAACCATATATACTTTTGAAAGGAAAAAAATATAGATTAAAAAATTATATCAGAAAAAGATAAGGTTATATTAATAACAGAATAAATAATGAGTTAATGCTATTTTTGTGAAGAGACCATACCTGGAGAGGAGAAATTGTGTGCTTAAGAATTAGCACTCACATGCACAAGGTAAGGCTTAGAAATACATCACAGACTGAGTTACCTACCGATCTATTGCTTGCCTGATTTGTTTTGGGATGTGCTTAACAGCCAAATGGTCAGATCAAGGTAAGGAAGAGATCAGCTGCAAAAGTTCAGAGGCACAGCTTCCCCTCTTACCTTCCACTGAGGAGGAAGCCGATAACCACTGCCAACAAAATGACTCCCACTGTCACAGACACAGCAATTATAGGAATCTGGCTTTGATCGCTGGATGCTGCAACTGCTGATAGGAGACACAGAAAATGGAACTTCTGGTTAAAGTCACCATATGCATTCAAATAAGAGCAGCTTAATAGTCGGTAATCAATGCATGGTTTAAGCAATTCACCCACACTTGGCTGAGTTTTCCCTCCCAAATACCTCTTCTCAGAAGTGTGTAATTGAAAAGACACCTTTAGGAGAAAATATTTACTCTCCAAACGGAAATTCAAAAGATCACTAAGTCACTGATTGTTTCCTTGTCATCATAAAAAATGAATGCAATTGTTTGCATAGTATTCATCTGGGGATCATAGGTTTGCAAAAGAAAATGGAACTTAGTCCTTGATTTCAAACACCTTAATCTAAATAAGAGGTGCTAAGTGTATGAGATTTGACATTTTTAGAACTTGCATGTGGCTGTTCTCTAGAAAAAATTCTCATTACCTCAGATAGAATTTTTTTCCCATAGACATAGGTTGAAGTCCAAAATGATATGGTTATGACCTCAGTGAGGTTAAATGTAATATCACTACTCTGAATATAATTTGAAAAACCATAATTTCAAGCAGAATATAATCAGTAAGTATATTTTATAAGTAGCACCACTTTTTGAAAAATATCAAGGCATACTTTTAGAAATTTGAGAAGTCTGCAGTAAGATTAGTCTTATTTACATCTTTTTTTTTAAAAAATCTGAATTTAGATAAAATATTTTATATTTTAACAATGCAATTACCATAATAAGAGGAATATGGACACGATTTGATAGTTGTACCTAAATAAGCAAGATAGTTTCTCTTTTGTGCTCAAAACCTAACCTGATTAAAATAAGAAACCTATAGAACAAAATAAATTTTACTAATGTTCTCAAGAAACCCTCAATAGGATATCTAGTTTGCTTATTATTTAATGACATAATCAGTTTGATAAATTCAGAGTGGCATTAATTCACCTCTATGATAATAAATATTAAGTCAACAAAACTAATAACAAATATACTTTTCACGTTCTGTTTTTTACAACCCCTTCCCAGACCTTGGCCCCATCAATAGTTTTGGACATCCAAACACTTCCCTTACTATTCTTGTCGGCTCTCCCTTGATTCTTTCTAACCAAAACTGACTGACTCCCTGAACGCCTTCTTGTACTGATCTTTACTTTCAACTCTCTCAGACCCATCTTCAGAGCGCAATATCAACAGCTGGCTAATGTACGAGAAAAAATATTATTTGCAATCTAAATGTATGCTCTTACCCTCTTTCTACTTGGATGATAGTAGTTGCAATTCAATAGCTCTTTACCTTGTTTTCTTCTATTCTCTGATGCTGAGGTATGTGGTAGAGAATTTAATACTGGTGAGCAATAAAAATGGGGCAAGGCAGGGGCCCGTGCTCCGCTGCTGGCGGCCCGGGTACAGATCCCGGGTGCGCACCGATGCACTGCTTGTCAGGCCATGCTGTGGCAGCGTCCCATATAAAGTAGAGGAAGATGGGCACAGATGTTAGCCCAGGGCCAGTCTTCCTCAGAAAAAAAAAAAAAAATGGGGCAGGGCAAAGCTACCCCCCTATCACTAGTAGCCTTCTCTAAAATTTGTTTTATTAATCTCTAAACTCAGATTACTTATACCATCACTTTCTCTCATTCTTTAACTTTCTTTTTGGCAGGGGCTGTTTCAAGAGAAAAGTCATGCAGACTTGGCCCATATAAGTTCAATGTTATTTTGATTGGGCTCCAACTGCTGCTCCAGTGCTTTCGATTCTCTTATTAATTTCCTAACAAAATCATCCTCATATTTAGTCTTCCTCATTTTCTCAGTACACTAATCCATTCCCATTTCCCATATTTTTGAAATGTTAAACTTTATAGATAAATGAGAGTGATCAAATCTGAACTTTATGGTTAAATATAACTGCATAACCTTCTTTTGCTTTACCTAACTCCTCTGTTAGAGCCCTTCCTGTCTCTCTCAAAACGTTGCTCCTTCAAAGATCTCCCTCCAGAAGGGATTTTCATTCCCTTACAGGCTTTCTCTGCTGCTTACAACCTGAACACATATCTCCTCTCGAGGGAAACAAATTCTTATACCTAAACTTACTGATGTTAGTTCAACTTGAATTTGAAAACAGGTTCAACATTTACTAGACATGTGGGCCAGGGCAAATTATTTAACCTTATAAAATCCATTTCTTTTATCTCCAAATAGGGATAATTTCCCTGGATCATATATAGTTCTGTTAAGATTAGAGGTAACACATATAAAGCACTTAGTATAGTGCTTCGACTATTGCCAGCCTTAAATAAATAGTAAATATTATTTCTACATACTATTATCTCCTGCTTTATTTATCATCCTTATTCTGTCCTATTTTTCAGAATCTTGACTGAGTTGTAGATAGAACCAGCCTCAACTTCCAAGAAGCAACATTATTAAATTCTCTCTGAAACTTTTCCTCTTCTGCCTTTGAGTTCTACACATGATTTTGCTAAATGCAATGAGTACTCTCCCTTTACCTTACCGTGCATGATAATAAGGTATTTGACCTTGTTGGACATATACGTCATCCTTGAAACTCTCCTCCTCTTGGTTTCTATGACATCAGACAAGCTATTTTCTCTTTTTCCCACTCTGAAGCACTACTGGGGCAGTTCTGTTGGCTCCACCTTCTCTTCTCGCATCTTGTGTGTGAGCAATTCCTGATGAATGCTGGCTCCTGATCTTCCACACTTCTCTGCTCTCTCTCTTTCTTCCTATCTTTCTCTTTTCCCACCTACCTTCCTGTCTCCCCTCATAGATACTTTTTTGCTTGTGACATCAGTTAACTAGAAGCTAAAGAGACCCGAATTTACATCTCCAACTCTTACTTCTCTTCATAGTATCACTATTTTAAAAAACAGACTATTTCCTCTTTATTTGGATTTTATTTTCACATAAAAATAAACATGTTTAAAATCGACCCTTATACTACATCCACGCCCAGGGCATTAACAAAAACACATCAATAAATAAACTTACCAAAAATCAAACCAACAAACCAGACTACGTCGATCTCTTTCCGGTTTATTTTAACTATCACTGAATTTTCTTAACCCCTAGTTGCCCATTAATTACCAAATATTTTTGTGTTTCATTTATGTTTTTCCCCATGCATTACTTTTTTTTTTCATCCAACACTGACCTATTTGATTCAAATCTGCTGGAATACGGTTCATTGTGTTTTAAGTGTTCCCTTTGCCTTCCGTGTACTAACATAAAATATCCAAAAATATCACTTTGATCATGTTTCTCTGATCAAAAAGTTAGTAGATACCTACCACTTTTGGAAAATAATTCCCAAATTCTCCATTTGGCCTTCAAAAAGCCCTTGTAAACCGACTCTGGCAAATCTTTCTGATCTCCATATGTCAGTTGGGAACTCTCAGAGATATGGTTTCGGAGGAAGGAGGCATGATCAATCACAGGTATAGAAAAAAAACAAGGCCATTTCACGCTAACCAGAGTACTAATTTTGACAAAAAAAATGTGGGTACTTAGTAGCGTCAAATGATTCATTTTTAATAACTGCCAAGATCTAATTTAACAATGTGCTAAAATATGCACCTAGGTATGGGATAATATCTTGCATTAAAACAATTGTTAATGGCATACCAAAATTTTTCAAATGTTTAATACATTTTATGAAAACATTTTGTAAGTAATTAAAATCACAAACATTTATATTTATATGTTTTTATTGACAGGACACTGCAATCTGATCTTTTTGTTTAATAGGAAATTAAATCAAGGGTCTGTGAGGAAGAATTTAAAGAATACATTTTCATTTATTTTTTTAATTTATAGCATTTTCTAAGTTCCTTGATGGGTTTTAATCATTAACTCTTTCACATGCACTAATTAACTTGTGAGCTATTTCTAATAGGAAATAATTCATCAAGATTTTATACTATTTATTCCTCTGTTTGCCTTGACAGCATCAATAATATTCTCAATTATATCAACTAAGTTGAAAATATACAGAATTTTTAGGGTACTGTCAATTTTTCATACTTGTTCATTCTTTAGCAGCAGAAAAAAAATTCCTAAGCTCAGTATGATCCATAATTATTCTTTTAATATATTGTTAAATTTTTTCATCTTTATAGACATGAATCTCCAGTCACTTGTATTTCCCATTTTCTTATGTATGTTTATTAAGAGTTAGTTGATTTATGATGTAATTTTCAAAGAATAGCTGAGAAATGTTTTAGGAATGCTTAAGAGCAAATTTTGAAGTAATGTAACGCACTTGTTAAAAGGATATCAGTTATAAAAATTAATATTCTTTAGCAAATAATAATGTTTCTTTTTTCAGTCATTATATATTTACATCATCCCTGGAAACTTCAAGGTAGCATATGTTGAGAAATCACATTGTTTTCCCTCACTTTGCTTCCTACACTCCTGGTTGCAAACCCATATTACATAGCTATTCTCCAGTTTTAGCTACATATTTGAACAGTTAATCATTGAGGTTGAAGAGATTTGTTAGAGCCAGATCATAAGGGCTTTTGAAGGTCAGCCTGAGAATTTAGGATCTTTGTCCCACAGCAGTAATTATCTATTAACTTTCCTGATCAGGATAATCTGATCCAAGTTACAATTTTTGATATGTAATATGAGTACATAGAGTTAATGAAGAAATTTAAAACAGTACGGCAGGCAAATAAGCACATGAAAAGACATTGAACAACATTAGCCATCAGGGAAATTTAAATTAAAACCACGAGATATCACTACCTACTTGTCCAAAATGACTAAAAAAAAAAAAAAAAGGTGACAACACCAAATGCTGATGAGGATGTAGAGAAACTGATCACTCATATGTTGCTGATGGGAATTTAAAACAGTACAGCCACTCTGGAAAACAGTTTGGCAGTTTCTTACAAAATTAAACATGCAATTACCACATGATCCAGCAACTGTACTCTTAGACATTTATCCCAGGGAAATGAAAACTTAGGTTGAAACAAAAACATATACCCAAATGTTCATAGCACTTTTATTTATAATAGCAAACACCGGAATCAGCTCAGATATCCTTCAACAGGGGAATGGTTACACAAACTGCAGTATATACATGTCATGGGAATATTACTCCACAATAAAAAGAAACAAACTTGATATGCACAACAACTTGGATGAATCTCCAGGGAACTGTGCTGAGTGAAAAAAGCCAATTCCAAACTAAAAGGTAATATATTGTATGATTCCATTTATAAAACATTTTTAAAATGTCAAAATTTTAGAAATGGATGTTTAGAAATTAGTGGTTACCAGGGATTTGTTATGGGATGGGAGTTGTTCCTGGAGGCCGTAGGTGCAGTTATGAAAGGGCAACACAAGGGTTCCTTGTGATGTGGACACTATTCAGAATCTTGATTGTGATGGTAGATACACGAAGTTACAAGTGACCAGATTGTGTAGAACTTAATACACACACACGTCTACATACACGAACACAAAGGAGAACAAGGAAATGTGAGTAAAATTGGTGGATTGCACCAATATCAACATCCTGGTTGTGATATTATATTATAGTTTTGCAAAATGTTACCATTGGGGGAAACTAAGCAAAATGTACAAGAGTTCTCTCTGTATTGTTACTTACAATTGCATGTGAATTCATAATTATCTCAATAAAATTTCACTTAAAGAGCAGAATAGCATTATTCCAGCAGTTGGGTTATACAGATTTGAATTAGATAGGTTAAGAGTTGGATGAAAGGGAGTGATGTATTGGGGGACAAATCATAAAACAAACACAAAGATGTTTAGTAGTTCTTGGGCAAGTAGGGGTTAAGAAAGATTCAGTGATAGTCTCAAAGTTTTAAAGCAATTTATATTAAAAGAAACTAGAAAAAGAGCTAACTAGGTTGGCTGGATGGTTTCATTCACGCTAAGTTTATTGGTGTGTTTTTATCATTACTGTTGGGAAAAGGGATAACATAAGGAGTAAATTTTAAACACAGTTAATTGTATGCACAATAAAATTAAAATAAAGTGGATAATAGTCGGTTACAATACATAAACTAAAGCTTGAGAGAGAAAGAATAGTTGGAGATTTTCTACCCAAATCCTCATGTTAAATAGCTTTTCTAAAATAAATATTTTTGCGTTCCTGTTTTTACTACTATTTGCATTTGGTTTTAGGGCTATATATATTTTGTGTGTGTGTGAGGACTATTAGCCCTGAGCTAACATCTGTTGCCTATCCTCCTCTTTTTGCTGAGGAAGATGGGCCCTGGGCTAACATCCATGCCCATCTTCCTCTGCTTTATATGGGACGCCGCCACAGCATGGCTTGACAAGCAGTGTGTCGGAGTGCGCCCAGGATCCAAACCTACGAACCCTGGGCCACGGAAATGGTGCACGCAAACTTAACTTCTACGCCATGGGGCGGCCTTAGGGCTATATTTTGAGATACGAGATAATGTAGATAAAAAAGGAAAGCCCTTCATCACCATTTTTTGACTGAAGTAAAATATAAATTAATAATGAATAAATTTAAAAAATTAAGCAAATCAATAACATAATGTGTCAATGTACCATTATCATGCATCATTATCATGAACTGAGTAACCAATGAGAAAATTCTTTTTAAAGTGTATGTTCAAGGTAATGATTTTCAGATAATTTTTTGTCCTAACACACTTGAATGATAAGATAGATTCCCTTAGTAAAAATGACTCATTAAAGCCAGTATGCTTAACTGTCACCCATCAAATGAAAACTACTGATAACTTTAATAGGAAAAATGTAAATATGTTTAATATACCATAATTCCTGCATTCAAGTCTTTGTAGACTGTATTGTGGAAATAATATATGTATGTGAAGAATTAAATTATGATATTAAGTAATTGCCCAATAAAATAAAGTAATTTCACAAAATACTACATAAATAATTGTCAAATGAATGGCATATAACACAAATGCTACAGAAGTTCCTAAAAGGAAGTGTTATTTTAATGATCAATTATTACATAATATATATTATATTATATTATTATTAACTCCTTATTAGACTATATACAAAGGAGGGATTGTGGGGCAGCCCAGTGGCATAGCGGTTAGGTTCCCATGCTCCACTTCAGAGGCCCGGGGTTTGCAAGTTTGGATCCTGGGTACGGACCTGCATACTGCTCATCAAGCCAACCGGCATCAAATATACAAAACAGAGGAAGACTGGCACAGATATTAGCTCAGAGCCAATCTTCCTTAGCAAAAAAAGCAAAAAAAAAAGGAGGGATTGCGCTTTAAAGTCACTTGAGTCACTCACAGTACCTAGAGTGAAAAGTCTTTTAATGTGTAGGGAGTAAATAACTTTTTAAATAACAAACAAAAGTATTATCCTAAAATGGCCCTCGAAACAAATATTCCATTCTTCAGAATTAAATAGAGTGCATTCTTATTCTCTGGATAGAAGTTTCCATGTGTTATTCATGTCAATTTCTCCAGCGCCTCATAAAGCTGAACACGTAATAGGTGGTCAGTACATTCTTGTTGAATTTTATCCAGAAAGGATCCTACCTAAAGGTCAAAGGGCATCAGTATGTAATAGATACTTGGTCAAAGAAAAAATTATTCTTAAAACGTTTGCAAATACATGTATGCATACTGAAATAAAAATGAAATTTCAAGCAGTTAAGTGTGTGCGTTCCGCTCCGGCAGCCCAGGATTTGTGGGTTCGGATCCCAGGCGCGCACGGACGCACCACTTGTCACGCCATGCTGTGGCCACATCCCGTATAAAGTAGAGGAAGATGGGCACAGATGTTAGCTCAGGGCCAATCTTCCTTGGCAAAAAAAAGAGGAGGATCAGAGTTGGACGTTAGCTCAGGGCTGATCTTTCTAAACAACAACAACAAAAAATGAAATTTCACACTAATAGCTAGGAGACATACAGCCTTAAAATATTTTCATTATCTATTAATAATAACACTGAAATCTACTTTTGCAGTAAAAAATTGTTGTGTAATATTTCTTTTCCTCTAGAAATTGTGTAGGAAAAATTTTAAAAGAAGACAGTCTCAGATGAGTTTTATAAAACTATATGGAAGATGACCTCTTATTAGTTCTCTTGGTGATCAAATGGATGAATTTTGGCATGCCTAGAAATTTCTATTTAATAAAAAAAGTAAGGGAAGGAGTACCAAAAAGTCTGTAGAAAAACTAGTTGCTGAACGTGCCAACATCCTGAAACTAAGTAGAATTTTGTAATCTTTTCAACCGGGATTTTTCATTTATATAGTTATCCAAGCACTCAAGCATATTGTGAGATCCTACTCACTGGGTTTGTTCCCAGAGTTGGTAAAGCACATAAGTGAGATTTTCAATTAAATCAAAGACGTGGAATTTTCCTTGAGTAGAAAGAAAATAATCTATCATTTTCCACAATGGCCTCCTAGTCTGTATAAAATCAATTTAAGTAACACTTTGAAAGCTATTTTTTGAGTAATAACAATTATTTTCTAGCTCATTCAGTAAAACATGCTTTAAACAGAAGTGTATCTTGATTTTCTAAAGAGTTGTATTATATCGGTTTGTGGACATTTTAATTTGGTAAATCTTCTAATCATTACAAGGTAAATCTGATAAACGAAGCTCTCATTTTGTTGGTTTCAAAGGGATGAAATATGCATTTTATTTTCCTCATTTTAAAATCACTAATTCTGACATGACCTGCCTTTAAAAAGTATATATATACTCACACACACATATATATGCCCATATATATACACACACACACACATATTTGACATTTCACACTACTGTGTGTTACTTTCTTCATAACAAAATTTTAATAGTGTCAGCTCTTTCATCTATAACAAGACAAATTATTGTCTTCTAATCTTGCTTTTAATGTATTTGTTTTAGGACAAGTAAGTAATCTAAATATTTTGATTGATATTAAAATGTGGAAAAAGTTTTATGCTATTTTATGAATAAAAATATGGTGCAAGAAGGGTTTTCCAGAAATATTTCCAGACCCTCCATTCAGAGACATTGCCAGAGATTTAGATTTTTTTAAAACAATCAGATTGTTTCCTGAGAGCACAATTTTCTTGCCAAACTCAATACTAATGAAAGCTCCCTGTGGAATTTTCATAGAAAGACTAAACCTGGTAGCATAGTTCAATAAAACAAGTAAAAAGTAAATGGCAATAATTCAATAAAGTATGGCAGCAGTGGAATGAAAGTCTTTAAAAGCAAGGTTTAAACATTTCTCAAGGATCTCCTGAAGTTTCATCTCCCAGTAGACTAAATGCGATGAGGAGAGGGGACCAATGTGTTAACAGGCTAAGCTGCCATCATAGCATGACAGATGCTTCCTACCTGGAGGGGTCATGCCTGGGAGAGAGAGGTGCAGGAGACTGACAGAATGCCCAGGGAGAGTATTGATCCACTGACTCTTTTCTGGTAACCATTACAGAGACATGAGTTGACAGTAATTAAAATGACTTACACACTGGGATGGTTTCAAACTCAAATCTTCGACTGAAGACACCATAGCCTGCTGCTGTGCGTGCTCGAATTTGAAAGACGTATACTGAAGCTGGTTTCAAGCCCTCTGCAGTTATAGTTGTCTCTTTAGATTTGATAATTGTATAGCTGGTTTCTTGGTCCTTGGATTACACATGCACATACAATAAAAAAAAAAGTCAACGTATGAATTACTATATGACAGCAAAACTCAGAATCATAGATCAGAAAATTAATCAGAAACTAATAGACTTGCTATTACTACAAATATAATGTTTTAGAAAAAATAAAACCTACACAACCTAGGTTTTTATATAGAAACTTAAAGTGTTTTCTAGAGCTCAAAGATGGTGGGTGACATGTTCACCCATCCACCATACTTGCCGTTGGTAAAAATAGATTTGTAAACTTTTAAAATACAGTTTGCAGAAGATAAATTATTTTACAGACTCTAATTTAGTACTTTATTTCTGTGCTTGTTTTTCTAATAAATGTTTTATTGGAGCACATCTGCCTGTTCACAGAGAAAGGTGACAATGTCTCATACATTGCCAGACAGGACTTAACGCTTTACATCTTTAGTGAATTCAATTTCTAATTATATTTAGAGCTTAGGAGAAGGAATGAGCACTTCACTAGAGAACCACTTTAATTTCAATTCACTAAGTCTAAAATTTCGTAAATAAGCAAAACTTTTTCTCCTTTTGAAAAAGTTTTTATTTTTTCACTTTTATGTGTTTGGGCTGGATGAGTAGCGAACAGAGATGGAGTAGGAAAAAAAAAATCACTGGACAGATAGTTTTGGAAACTGAACCAAAGAGGAACTGTTCCTATTTTGACTGCTAACAAAGTCTAGACTAACCATCCATAACTCCTCATTGTCTCTGAAGTCACCAGGCTGAACATAAAATCTTAGACCTATAAAGATTTCAAACGCACAAAGGTCTTGTTTTGAACTTTCCTCTTCCTTATATTTTTCTGTGTGAATTCTTGGCTAAACTTGTTTTTTCCCTAAAAGTCTTTCCATATTTATTATATTTCTCATAGATATTAAAGGACAAATTAAAGATAGATAATGGTTAGAGACTATTCCTCCTTTTTAAATACGTGGTTTTTATTTACAATAACCTGACTGATGACTGTAGGCTATCGTTTTCTAAATATTTCAGGGAATTTTGTCTTTACAGATAGAAACATGTATCAATTGATTTTTTTTTTTTTTTTGGTGAGGAAGATTAGCCTTGAGCTAAAATCCATTGCCAATCTTCCTCTTTTTCACCAGGAAGATTGGCCCTGAGCTAATAGCTGCACCCATCTCCCACTGTTTTATATGTGGGATGCTGCCACGGCATGGCTTCATAAGAGGTGCATAGGTCTGTGCCTGGAATCCAAACCTGCAAACCCTGGGCCGCCAAAGCAGAGCACATGAACTTACTTAACCACTATGCCACTAGGCCAGCCTCTTGATTGATTTTTTTTAAAAGATCTAATGAGAATAACACATAAAGGACTTTTTTTCCTAAATGAGAAGAAAATTGAAAACAAGAGTAGAATATTTACTTCTGAAGCACTCTAATAGGGAATGTGGCTGCTATTTGATCTTCACAATGCTATTAAAGTGCAAACAAATGCAAGCCACACTCTTTCTCCCTTGAGGTTCACAATGGATAGTGGCATGCCATGTGGAAACTTTAGTGTGGACACTGAAATAGTGTGCTAAAATGTGGAAGTCCATTTTTACTTTACCTTCAGTTTTTTTTATCTTTCTATCTGGGATAGAAATTGTTGCCTGGATATCCTCACAGAGATGTGGCAAGATTGAAACAGTCATGCCTGTGAAACACTTTAATAAATTGTACAGTACATGCTTTAATTGTCATAATTATTATTTTAATGTTTTTCTAATTTGACACATCAAAGTTAACTTCTAACCACCTTCTATACCACCACCAATACAGCCTAAAATACACAACCTATAAACATTCTTCTTTTAAGGCAGTTTTATCATTCTTCTTTTAATATGTTTAAACATATAAAATTATCTTAGGGTTAAGTATATTCAAATATCTCTATAGATAGGTATAGTCTAATTTCTAACCTAAATAGGTGTTCTGATTAATTCTATACAAATGATTGATCTTTATATTTTTAATGCACACGTTAAGTGCCTAATCTTTAAAGTGTTTAAGACATTTTATTAGAGTTTTGCAAAGGATTCCAAGTAGATAATTACATCCTATAAAACTTTACCTAATAATGTCAGTCATTTTCTTCATTCACATACATTTATTGATCTCTTATCTAGTCTATTACCCCTTCTATATGCTAGTGGTACAGCAGTAAAAAAGCAGACAATTTCTTGATGTGGTCTTTTTAAAATGGGTAAATAGCTTCTTTAAACTATTGTAGTTACTGCCGTTCTGAGATGCTCAAGTTTATGAGTGAAAGTGCAAGACTTTCTCAATAATATTATCCTTTCCAGCTTGACTGTGATTGCAGCAGAAATTTTCAGTAAGAAATGATTAAATACCTGTTCACTATTACTTTCAGTTTGTTTAAAGGGAATTTAAGTTGGTGAAAAAAGCTAAATAAAACTAAAGTTAAGATTCTGATATATTTGATATAATTATGATTTTTTACATAGAATATTAACATTTTCATGTAAAGTAAGGTTTTTCTTTTTTTATAAAAGAGCACAGGAATTTCAGGGTTAGAATTCCAGACATGTTATTAACTAAGTTGGTGTGTAAATGTGGGTACACAACTCAATCTCAGTTTTTTTCTTCTTTGAAATGAGGTGAAATTATTTATGAAGAGCATTGTGAGGACATAGAGATAGAGAGAATATACATAGCACACAGCACAATCTCCACAACGTAAGAGGGTCTAGGTAAATCTGTTTGTTTGTTTGTTTGTTTTTTGTGAGGGAGATCAGCCCTGAGCTAACATCCATGCCAATCCTCCTCTTTTTTTGTTGAGGAAGACCGGTCCTGAGCTAACATCTATTGCCAATCCTCCTCCTTTTTTTTTTTCTTCCCTTTTTCGCCCCAAAGCCCTAGTAGATAGTGGTATATCATAGTTGCATCCTTCTAGTTGCCGTATGTGGGAGGCCGCCTCAGCGTGGCCGGACAAGCGGTGCGTCGGTGTGCACCCAGGATCCAAACCCGGGCCGCCAGTAGCGGAGCGCACATACTTAACTGCTAAGCCACGGGGCCGGGCCCCTAGGTAAATTTGATTTGACCCTATAGCATGATGGCAAATTCTTCTATTGAAAAGGAAAAAACAGAAGAATTTTATAAATCTTACATAGTTGTAACTCCTAACTATTGAAGTCACAATTAATATGTTTTATAAAAAAACTGGAAATTGATACTTTGGCCAGAAAAGGGAAAAAAAATTACAAGGAAATTGAAATGCTACTCCTTGAAATAATGCATGATCTTATATCAATTGCACAAAATTATACAACATTCCATCTGATTTATCTATTAACATTATGTAAGTCTCAGTGATTCCTTATCACAGGTCTGATTGTACATTGTCTCTCTGAGTTAGCTGAATACTATATTATCGAAGGGACTTAGCAAAGCATACATTTAGAGAATCAAAACTCATAACTACACATTTTGAATTATCTGAGTATCTTCCAAAATTTGCTTCTGTTCCACTCCTTCAAGTCACCCTCGTATTATAATTTCCTTCATATCACAAACCTTATATACACATCTTCAACACCCACAACTAAATGGCTGCCAAGTCCTTGGTCAGGGCAGTGGCTTTTGCTGCCTTCCTGCCACAGCTGAGCAAATGAGCTACATTCCCCAGCTGCTTAGCAAACACTGTTCACATGCAGCGAGGGGAGGGCCTTGGCAGAAGAAGCCAGCTGGCAAACACCCTGCCAAGGGGCAGCTTCCCTTTGCCTCTGCCTTTAATTAAGAGATGGCAATGGGCCCATCACCATGCAGGAGCAGAGAGGCCCGATGACCTCTATTAGAGCAGGGCAATCGCAGGCAGAAATGCCAGCTGGCAAATGCAGGAGACTTGGAAAGCTCTGCCACCTGTGTCTGGCCAAGAGCCATCCAATAAAACGGTGGTGTCATTCTGAAGGTTCGAAATGAGCTCTGGAGACCTATCAGGATCCCCACCTCAATACATGGCATAAAAACTCATTATCCTTTTTTTCCTTCTGAAAGTGTTAAAAAAACTTGATGTGTATTTTACTGGTATGCTCAATAGTTTTGCTTGGCAAAAAGGTCTGGGAATTAATATTGTCACTGTGAAAAGGAAACCCCTGACCAAAAGAAGTTAAAAACTTCACTGAAATAATATATCATATAAAGCTTTTGTTGCTTTTACAGCATTTAAGTAGGCAACTTGTTATTCATTTATTGAAGATTTGTACAGAAATCTTTTTCCAAAATCATCTTTTCTTACTTTGAGTTATGTAGATAATAGAATGCACTAATATAGTGTTAAATATAAACCAGATCTTACCGAAATAAATATAATTTAAAAATAATTGAACTGGGGCCGGCCTGGTGGCGCAAGCGGTTAAGTGCGCACACTCCGCTGCGGTGGCCTGGGGTCCGCTGGTTCGGATCCCGGGCGCGCACTGACTCACCGCTTGGCAAGCCATGCTATGGCGGCATCCCATATAAAGTGGAGGAAGACGGGCACGGATGTTAGCCCAGGGCCAGTCTTCCTCAGCAAATAAAAAGAGGAGGATTGGCAGATGTTAGCACAGGGCTGATCTTCCTCACACACACACAAAAAAAAACTATAAAGAAAATATTCCACAATACAGATAAAATTCATTAGAAGGAATATTAATAGAAAAGGAATCCTCTCTATCACTTCCTGAGCAACTCTTTGTTTTAACAGAAGCAGCAGCTTAAAGAAAAAGAGAGAAAGAAAGGAAAAATCCCTACTCCTATTGAATATTATGTATATGAAACTCATGCATATGCTGCGAAGTAACAGTAAAAACCATCAAAGGTTACTCATCAGGGAAAAAAAGTAGGATAATTTCCTCAAAGACAAAAAAGAAAACCAGACAATGGTTCAGCTAGTTGCTTCAGGGGAAGAAAAACAACACAGGAAAATAAGTACTTGTCAAACTTTTACTCTTCCTGCTGTTGAACTTAATTTCACCTCAAATACGTATATTCGAATATATGGTTTTTGATGTTTACTTATTTTAAAATGCCATGTGGATATAAACTTCTTTTAAAATCAACTTTAATGAAAATAAAAATTTGGAAACTTAAAATGTTTATAAAATAATTCAGCCTACGTTTACGTATATATTTAAACTGTAAGAATGTACAAAAATCACTCTATTTACCTAGCTTTGCATTAGTACACAGTAATAAAGTTTACAAAAACTTGAATAAAGAATGTAAACTTTAATTTAACAAATTAGTTTTGGATATAGCTTGTGTTTAAATTGTAGACTTCTAGAACTTGCAATGCAGTCTGGACTACTACTCCCAGAGAAAGAGGAATCAGTGAGGAATATTAATGTCACAACACTTCACTTGATTTACCCCATTTTTTTGTTAACAATAAACACTGTAAACCATAACCCAACATAGCTTTGTCTCAGAGGTATTCCCCTAGACTGAATAATGTATTTGATAATGTATTTTTTGTGAAATATCTTACAGGTATCTTGATTTATAGTCCCTAAAAATCCAATAGTTACATGTGATACTATCAGCAAGTCATTCCTAGAAAGATAACTATTTCAAGAGTAATAATTGATTGTTTATTCATCTATTTATAAAATCAATATATGAACATTGTATAGACATCTAAAACCTAGAGAGAATATGTGGATGGCCCCACTCTCCCCCACATCCTACCATTTTGTTTTCTGTTGTAACTTTACATAGGCAATTGTTGAATCAATGAAGGAAAGAAGCAAATTTTTAAAAAATCTCTACAATGCTATGAATTATTTCAAAGTATTTCAGTGTATTTACCTACACTCTTTTATCTTGCGTATACATAGAATATTGGATTTTTAAGTAATTTTCATTCATAGGATATCAGTATTTTTCATGATATTTTTGCATTACTATAAGGCGAACCATTTATTCCCCCTCTCGTTTCCAACGTCCTAGCTTGGACAATTTCTTAGGTATTGCAAAACAATTTTTTGAACTTCCTCCCACCTTCTTCACTCTTTCCTAAGAGAGGAGCGATGTCTCTCTGAGTTTGGGAGAAGCAGTTGCGTAAGTGTGGCTGAGTCCTTCCCTTCTCTTCTGGGACCTGCTTCTCTGCATTGTGTCTGCAATCTTTTCTGCTCCTACTTCCACAGCACACACATTTCTGGGTCAGGGTCTTCTACCCACCTCTTAGAGGTTGGTTTGGGCACTCATCTATCTTTATGTCCTCTATGAGAACTCAGGTTGTTCTAAGTAGTGTATGTCATTCAGATCCAGACTGTACAAAAATCACAGTAAAATGGAGGTGGGAGTGGTAGGAAAACTCATGGTAACTATATATCTAAGCCACATTCTCCGGTCCTAATCTAGAAGTTTAAGCTAATCTTTATTTTCCATCTGTATTATTTCTTTATCAATAGCTCACTTGGTTGAGGATTCAGAAAAGAGGAAGAGGGATGATTACTGCCTTTGGACTTCAACAACTATTATGGGAAAATATGTAAGAGTGAACAGAAGAAACGACTCAGGAAAGAAGAGGAAATCGAGAAAACATAGGGTGGTAAGGCATGCATTTCCAATTTTGTGCCCTTAAATTTAAAATAAAGTTTATAATATAGTGTTAGAATTTTGTTACGAATTTTAAGAAATTCTCCTTTATATTCGAATCTTATCTGCCCACACTTCCTTAACGGTGTAGGTATTACGTAGGGTTAATGGCCATCAGCACATGTGTTCTTCCCTGTAGTACACTGCAGTCACTACTGAAGGTCAACCACTTAAGTGTTTGTGACACTTTCAAAACGTCCTATGACTTCATCTTTTAATGCTGTGAAAACTAGTTAAGCTGATGTTAGACTATATGGCGGTATTCCGGCAGCGTAAACTATTTGGCAGCAGCAGAACACAAATTGAGTGCTCCCCTTACACTTCTAGCCTCCATAATCATGACTGCAGAATCAATTCTCATTGATTTACACGTAAAATTGCACCATGCTTTTCTACAAATTGAATAATTGCAGCTGCTAAAAGTGAAAAAAAAAAAAAAAGAAAGAACATTCTTTATTTTGTTAGTCTCACCTTTTCAAAATATTTGATTTCATACTCCAGAATGATTCCATTGGGGCGATCTGGCTCTTGCCAAGACAAAGAGATGCTGTTTTTTGCAATCTTCCCCTTTTTCACATTGGTGACTGGAGAGGGGGCTGCAAAATAGTATAAGTAAAGAGTAGCATGATTAACAGAGCCCTGAAATTACAGCTGTTTATAAGTGGCATTCTTGGAATGTAATATAATAAAAACCCCAAAAATTGAATTTTCTTTTAACCTATAAATAATTTTACTTTCTCTCTGTAACATAAGTTTTTACAAATTTTAAAGGGTTTTACAAATATAAATCAATTAATTATCCTGAGAATTTTCTCATAATAAAACTGTAGTCACATAGACTCTTAAGTCCACATTTTCTTTATAAAGTTTAGAAATATAAATGAACTTTTTTTATAGAATGAATATATTTTTGATGACCTTAGACATGTTCTATGTTTCTAAAATTTGGACTCTATTATATAATATATCCCATTATGCTAATATATAAATGATCATCTACATTACCACATTTTCACAATATTAAGTCTCTTTTTTATCATTTATTATTTTTGAAATCATGTGGGTCCTATAATCATATATAAATTCATATATTAAATATAGTGGAGATTTTCCTTCAAAAATATGTTACTAAATACATGGTATATCTTGAAAACAATAGTAAATAAAAGAAACATTTTCTTTCATTTCCATTTCTCCCAAATTTTTCATTAAGAAGATATAAGCAATCACTTATGGTATTCATCACTATCTGCCAGTGTCTATTAAATGACTACTTTTCTGATGAAAATAGAAAAAATATATATGCTATTTCAGATATGTCTGGATATTTTGAATTCACAAACATATGGATATTGATTCAAATACATTTTTATCAATCTGCTGAGACTTTTATAGACTCTGGGCTTGACACCATAAAGAGGTGTTGACTAATATTTTTCTGATGTAGGTGACCTTTATTTTTGCAGTTGTTAGCTTTTACAAAGACATAGACACCATGGACTAAAGAATGGTTTATACGTGTGTGTGTGCGTGGAGAGAGAGCAATAATATATAATATATATCATATATATGTGTATTATATGTATAATGTATATGTAGTAAGATGGAAAAGATGCCAGCCATAATGAGTTGTGTATAACCAGTCATAGCCCTATCTGAACAGTATCAGGCATTTGGTGATTATATATTATATATAGTTATATATGTAATATATAATATATCATATATAAATTATTTATATGTATCATATACATATAGTTCCTAACTATTTTAATTTCCAACATTGTTCAGACAAAATAACACACTGTCCTATTTAATTAATTTTTCCACTCCTCAGAAAATGTAATCAAATCAGAGGCATTACTTTGAGTAACAGACAGCAAGAACAAAGTTTAGAAGAACTGTTTGTTGGGCCCAGTAGCAGTGTGAAAGCAAAGTAGGGGAAGAGGCTGATCACTTAAAAACAGAAATGAGATCTTGTCACTTCTATGGTTAAAACCCTCCAGTGCCCTTCTGCCTCATTCAAGTAAAACACAAATCTGGAATTGCACACAAGGATCAATACCATGCGGCCCCCTGCGTCTTCTCTGGCCTCACCTCCTGCTGTTCTTCAGCAGCTCTGCCCAGGCTTTCTGTTCTTAGGGCACTTCAGACACACTCCTGCCTAAGGACAGTTGTACTTGGCATTCCAGCATTCAGAGGTGCTTCTCCTCCAGACGTCTCCAGGGCTCTCTCCCTCTCTTCTGCGTTTCTCACTGAGGCCTTTCCTATCTATCTACGAGTTGAGTAACCACCTCTCATCCTCAGCCCCTCTCAACTCACCATTCTCTTTGCTCCTTCAGTGTTTTATTTTTTTCCTAGCTCTTGAACCGTATGATATACATATGTTAATTATATTTCCTTTTTTCAATCCTTTCAAGTAGAATGTAATTTTTATCAGAGTAGAGATATTATTTTGTTCATTGCTGAATCCCTAGATCTAGAACAGTTCCTGGGACAGAGGGTCCAATAAATATGTATGGAATGAATGATTGGTGGTAAAAATTCAAAGAAATATACACAAAACTTTTATTCTTTATTATTTTATTATGTCAACAAACTCAACTAGGAAACTCAAGGGTGAATTATATCTTTAAATAAAATTAAAATAAATAGAGACAGATGTAATCTATAAGAGAGTAAAATTTAACTACCTATCTAGTGTTTTGCATAGCCATAATAGGGTGATAACGACTTTGGTACTTTATTTATTTATTTTTTTGTGTGTGTGTGAGAAAGATCAGCCCTGAGCTAACATTCAATGCCAATCCTCCCCTTTTGCCGAGGAAGATTGGCCCTGGGCTAACATCCGTGCCCATCTTCCTCTACTTTATATGGGATGCTGCCACGGCATGGCTTGACAAGCGGTGCATTGGTGGGCACCCAAGATCCGAACCTGCAAACCCTGGGCCGCCAAAGCAGAGCGCGTGCACTTAACCACTGCACCACTGGGCTGGCCTCTGACTTTGGTACTTTAGTGTCTACTGTTATTCTTTTAATCACACAGCTTTGTGACATTCAGGTTCAGCAAGATGCACATTTTCAGCCTTATCTTGTTTTCTTAAACATGTCCAGTTCCACAGAATTTTCTGGAGTACTACAGAATACATAGTGTGCATATAAAGCCAAAATTGTCTAAAAGCATTGAAATCGTAGTCTGTTTACTTCCATGGAAATTGTAATCGACTGGTAGTTCTCACAGTCACATTTTGGCATAGGTTCAAAGTCCCTATAGACTTCCTAGTGAGGGAAAAGTTATGCCATATTCAGCACTGTGAATGTAGCATATAGACGACATGAAACAAGAAAGAGTAAGCTATGTGCCCCCTAGTTCATCAGAGCATTTGTAGCAAAATAGCAAATTTACTGAAGTAGAAACAGTAACAGAGGAATAAGGAAGACAGTGGATTTTCTTAATGCATTTTGTACAGTAGTGAATATCTTTATAAATTATCTTGAATTATGAATTACACTCACTTTCCGATTACCACTATCTATTTATTGCATTATACATCAGTAAAGATCCAAAGACTGTCTTCAAAATTCTTCACTCACTTTACTACATTGCAAACATCCTTCTTTGGGTTGATGTTATTTCTTATAGATAACTGTCAGTTTTCACCTAATAAATTGATGGTGTTGCCACCTTTCTATTCATAAATTGCATTTAACGTGTATGCTCCATGAAGGCAAGGATTAATTTGGTTTGGTTCACTGCTATAATTCCAGCACCAGAAAATTACTTGGTATATAGAAATTTAATAAATATTTGTTGAATGGATGCATGAATGAATGAATGGGAAATATATATGTCATCATATATCATTCAAAACTGAGTCTGTCTCATTTTAGGTGCATATACTAGGATCTTATTAGTTGGGGGTTTGTGCTTTATTTTAAAAGTTAATCAATTCTTTAATAAAATAATGAACCATTTCAAAGTGAAGCTATCAAATAAATATCAACACAGATATTATCAGCCTGAAGAGGAATACTTTGTTATTTACTTGCATTCATCCAAGGTAAATATAAATTGTGTAGCTTTCAAACACTGCCTGATTTAATAAATGCTTTTAAATATTTTTATAAATAAAGTATGTTTTATAAATAAAATACTTTTCCAAAGTCTGTTTTCTCAGAGGCTGAATAGTATTCTTCAAAACACGGTTCAGGATGAGGAATAGTTCAGGAATAATTTACTCTGTGACAAGACCATCTCTGAATCATTTAGGTAAAGCTGATCGAAGTGGGGACACTGACAGATCATGGGGACATAATGATGAGGCGCAAATTGTGAATGGTAGCGCTCCTCCACCACTATAAATTCTTTTACAGGTATTATGCACATTAAAATAACTGTAACCAGATTTGTCAGCATCAGGGCATGTTTAATTTCTCTCATTCATCTCCTTCCTGCTACGTTTTGCTCATTCTTTACCTACTCAACCTTTTATGAAGTAAGCCTGGAACAAAATGAGAATGATGACTTAGAGCACTTCTCTTATAAAATTTTGTTGGATGATATTAAGTCATAAAACTATTACCATCCTAATATAAGATGAACAAAAATACTAAAGAAATAGAGTTGTGAATACAAAAAAAATAATTTACCTAACTTCTGAGTTTCACCTTTTGGATATATGGAAACATTCCACGTTGTTTCTGTATTGTAGCTTCTATACTGGAACTGAACTTGGAGTACCAGTATAATAAGCAAGATACTTATCCTTTAAGCTAGTAATGGTTCCCATTATGGACTAATTTTTTGGTCTGAATTTAAAAAAAATTAATTTAGAATAGTTTTATATTCATAGAAAGATTATGAAGATAGTACAGAGTCCTGATATATCCCACATCTACTGTCCTCTATTAGGAACATCTTAAAATAGTACAGTACATCAGTCACAATTAATGAAACAATATTGATACATTATTATTAATTAAAGTCTATGCTCGGGCCGGCCCCATGGCTTGGCGGTTGGGTGCGCACGCTCCGCTGCTGGCGGCCCGGGTTCGGATCCCGGGCGCGCACCGACGCACCGCTTCTCCCGCCATGCTGAGGCCGGGTCCCACATACAGCAACTGGAAGGATGTGCAGCTGTGACATACAACTATCTACTGGGGCTTTGGGGGGAAAATAAATAAATAAATAAAATCTCAAAAAAAAATAAAATAAAATAAAGTCTATGCTTTATCAGATTTCCTTAGTTTTTACTTATTATCCTTTTTCTGTCCCAGCACCCTATCCAGTATACCATATTAAATTAGGTGTCGTGTCTCCATGGGCTCCACTTGGCTGTAATAGTTTCTCAGACTTTGCTTGATTTAATGACTTTGACAGTTTTGAGGCACAATGGTCAGGTATTTTGTAGACTATCTTTCAACTGGTGCTGATTTGATGTTTTCCTCATGATTAGACTCGGGTTATGAGATTTTTGGAGGAAGACTATAGAAGTAAGATGCCATTTTCACTACATTATATCAAAGATACATACCATCAACATAACATCATTGTTAGGTTAACCTTGATCACCTGACTGAGGTAGGGTTGGTCTCC